GAGAGGGGGGAGGGGGAGGGGAGGAGCGCCTAGCCAATTTTCTGAAACACTTCAGCTGGGCACTGTGGTGCTCGGCCTGCTTCTGCCTCCTGGTGGCCAGGCGGGGCCGTTGCATCCATTGGGTTCACTGCACGGGAGACAGCGGTTCCGGGACATCAGGTCATTGCTGAGGTAGCCCGGCCTTGCAGGAGACAGGAACCCATGAGAAAGGCGTCCCGGTCCTGACAACTGTGCAGCCAACGTACACGCGCTTCTTGGGGGTGAAGGGGACCAGGCGCGGGTGGAGCGAAGCGGGAATCATTTTGCAACTTTTTACATTTCTCTGTGGCTTCATTTCTTCCCTCTCTCTCTTTCTTCTCTTCTGTTCTCTTCTTTCTTTCTCCTTCCTTTCTCTCCCTTCCCTTGTTTTCTTTTTTTCTCCTATCTTCCTTCCTCTGATGCTCTTTCTCCTTTCTTTCCCTTCCGCCCTCCCTCCCTTCCTTCCTCTTTACTGTCCTCCATCCCTGAGTCTTCCCTCCTTTCTTTCTTACCCTTCTAAACCACTTGAAAATCATGCATAGTTTTCAAGCACAACAGAAGATGCTTCAGAAAATGCGTGGATTTGGATGGACTCCCGCGGGCTAGGTAACATTTGCTTCAACTCACACTGGGGGTGCACGCGCCACTCTTAGCAGTTTTCAGGCCCATGAAGCTTCATTTCCAAATGTTGTCAGTGGACATCTCCTGAACTCGTCCCTCCTACTTCATGGGAACAGGAACTCTTGACCGTCGTGTTTCTAAGCCCCTTCTTACTCAACTCCTGCTGACCCTCATCCGATTCTATGCTTCCGTGGCATTGCTTATGTTAGATTCTGCGTTAAAAATAATGAATAAAAAAGGGGGGCGGGGATTTAACTCAGTGGCTCTACCGCCTGCCTTGCAAACGCAAGAACCTGAGTTCGATCCCTGGTACAAAAAAAAAAAAAGATTCTGCATATGGGTGAGGCCGGGAGTCATTTGTCTTTCTCTCCCTGACTTATGCCCCCTAGCATGATGATCCCCAGGTCAGTCCATGTAGCAGCAAAGGGCAAGATGTCTCTTTCAAATGCTGCAAATCATCTTGACGTTGTCCTCACCCATCCAGTTACTCATACATCTTGGCTTATCCTGCATCTCAGTACAATAGACCAAAGATTGCGTGTATCTTTCCAAACAAACAACTTCGAATGCACAAAAATCTAACACTCACACGTTGTGCTATGGAGAACTTTCTTCATCGAGATATAAATGTTGCAGGCCTCACGTTTTTCCTTCTTTCATAGTCCTAGGGATGGAAGCCAGGCCTTCATGCCTGCTCTACCACTAAGCAACCCCTTCAGCCCTTTTTAGTTTATGTTTTGAGATTAGGTCTCACTGACTTGCATTTCCAATCCTTCTGCCTCAGTCTCCGAAGTCGCTGGGGTTCCCAGATGTTCACTGTCATGCTTGATTTGATTCATAATTTCTTAAGAGAAAATGAAAGTTTATATTTACAGCACAGCCTCATTTGCAGATCAAAAAAAAATCAAACAAATCTCCCACGAGAAGCTATTGCCTCGATACATAACTACCTTTGTCTAACGTGTTCTTTAAGCTGGCTTTAATAGTCACCCAGAATACTACCTGATAAAATGTATTTCCTGAAAACCTTTATCTTTAAAGCAGCCTGTCTTACGGTCATTCACCTGAAAGGTACCAACACTTTTACCTGTGGTCCATTTTCCTCCCTTTCCCTGTAGTCTCCCATGCGAAGGACAATGCTTTGTAGTCAATCAGTGAGAAGAAAGCATGGTCCTTCCTCTCTAGCTGAGGGAGAGAAACATATGAGCACTACTCAAAATGCAAAGAACGCCATGATAAATTTTATTTTTGCTTGTTAGCCCTGGTTGTTTTTGGAAAGTTCTGAGGAAACCCACAGGTTGACAAAACACATGAACTTGACTGGCGTGAGGTGGAAATTCACATTTTGGATCACTGTCCAAGAAATGGAAACAATCATCAAAACATGATTCAGGCAGCGAAATTGGTGAGCGGCCCCTCAGAGCGACTTGAGTTTGATCTGTAGCCCTTCAAATCATGGGACAGCAAATCTGTATCGCTTCTGCTACAATCACGACAGCTGGTTTAGAGCAGCGGCCCA